TAGCTTGAAGGGGGCGAATCGGAGTGAGGTGGAGTGCACGGGGCAGAGCTTACGGGCGGGAGGAGACCGTTCGAGATGGAGTGGCTAGTAGGGTTGGCCCGGGCGGGGTGAGTCGGGTGCGCAAGGGGGGCAGCAGGGCAACGCATGGCACGGGGCGCTGGGGCGCGCGGGGGCAAGGGGAGCGCGGGGCGCGGGGCCGCGGGGGCGCGGAGCCGCCGCCGCGTTCGCAAAAAGGCCCCCGACGCGATTCGCAGCGACAGATGAATCACGGCGAGCGCCGCGCGCCGCGTGTCGGGGCGGTCGCGCCGGCTGACTGAAAGGATGCGTGCGGGAGTGAAGTGCGTGCGTGGCGAAGGCGGGAGACAGAAGCGTGGAAACCGAGAGTTGCGAGAGGTGCAACTGAAGACAGCGGAAAGCCGGGTCGAAAAGTCTTTGTCCAGAACAGAGTAGTGGCGATTGGCATCGTGGAAGAAATTAAGATCTAACAAATATTATTGTATTACATATTACTAGATAAGTGTTTTTCTGCCGAAAATTGGCCGTTTTTGCGGGCATGATTTAATAACTTTCTCTTCTTACGAAGAACTTCGCAGGAGGAAAGTAAACTATTTTATAAAGCTATAATGCGTTTATTATTTGAACTTATTTTTTTCAAAACAGACCCTTAAAATATTAACCAACAAAATAATTTTATTTTCTTTTGCTTTACATTTTCGATGTTTGCTAGGAATCTTTTTTTCAAAAACTATATCGTGGGCTCGTTATTGTAAAAACATTGTGGAGTTTACAATAGGTTACATTTTTGTCTTAATTGGAAATATACTGTCGTTTAAAATCACAAACGTGAAGGAGGTCTATGGGTTAAAAACGTTGTTGATTCATTGACTCCCCTTGTAATTTTAACTCGCAAGGCATTTTGAACAAAACAATTTTATTAATAATAATAAGGATTTATTATTATTATTTATTATTAATGTGGTGAGACTCGGGCCATCAGGCCCCCGCTCTTCCGCCTAACACATGAATACAAAATGTATGAATATAACACCTTTAGAATAAGAATTTTTCTAAGATACATTTTTGCAATGTTATAAGGGACAAACAAACATGTATTGCCCTCAGCTCACAATAGCGAAAATAATGGACCCCAGCTTTTGCCTTAATGCCGGCGAGGGAAACCAGAGAAAACAAATGAAGTATGCAAGCTATTCAACATTGTGGAACAAAAATAAAATATTTAAAAAGAAACTTACAAAAACCATTACAGAACACTAAACGCGTAACCAGACAAATTAAATTATAAAAAAAGATTGATTTTTGCGACATGCGTCAAAAAAGTTGACACAAACACTAACACTTAAAGAATAATATAAGGGCATTAAAAGTCATGAGGTGCATCCACCACCCTGTCTGTACCGACGGCCTTCAGGTCAATTGTTTAATTTAGAAACGTCATGTACCAAGGGAAAAGACGCCGCAGTCAGTACATGACTGGTAAAAACGAGTAATGAGTATAACTAGAAAATACGAAAACAAAACTAATCATTTGACTTAATTTAAACTATTACTACTAAACGTTAACTTAAACCTTAAACTTAAAATCAAAACTAATAGAATAGATACCTTGAAAGAGAAACTTATTTTTGAAAAAATGGTGTATAAAACATTACAAATTTCCCTTATTATTTTCAATTTTTTATACAGACTTGTACATATACCATATTAGCTCAGCCATTGCTTATTTAAAATGTTTTACATTTCCAACATTTACTGGAAGATTATTCAATCTTTCTGGTATTGACACTAAGTAAGATTTATTGTAAAATTTGTTATTGAATTTTTAATATATTACATTGCAAGGATTTCTGTAATCTTCTTGTTTATATTGGTAAGACATATTAGAGAAGTAAGTGGTACGCCCCGAATTCCATATTTTTGAAGAACAGTTCATTAAAATTGTGAAACCTGTCGAATTTTCAAATTTAGCATGTGATTTCTTTGTAGTATCCCGAGATGTGATCATACTTTCTGATATTATATTGAACCTAACACATGACCATTTGAGGTCTTTGAAGAGGCATCAGGAGTTGATTTCTTGACATTACTGTTCACCAATATCACAGTAATTAAGCGCAATGGAGCAAGAGGGATTTTGTAATAACTTTTGATGCTGACTTGAAATAATTTTGTAGGTACATTTTGAATGAGAACAGAGTAGGTATAGACTTTGCAACAAGTGACCGAGCATAGGATTTCCCAATTTTTGAATTTATCGAATTTGCTACTCTGATATATTAGGCAGAAAGAAACAATAGGTGTAGTTAAGTCATGTCATGAGCAACATTTAGATTTAAAAATGATTTTGAGGACCGACAGGCTCAGATTATATATTGATTGAGATTTTAATGGGTTGGCGTCAGTCTTTACTCACTATTCAAGTAAAGAAAGCAAATCTTGATTGTTTTTTGCTAACTAAATGGGCCCCTTCAGAAGTTTTCGCGCTGTCGTAGACTGAGCTCATCGGCGTCATATGATATAATTCGAACGAATATAATTTAATCAAAGGAAATAATAATGAAGGCTGTATTGACTTTACTTTTGGTCGGCTTTTCAGTTATTCGCTAGGCCTAAACAACACGATGCCTTGTCCATATGTGAGTAACTTTTGAATTTTTTTAAAATTCAGTAGTTCTACGAAAATCAGGCTTGTGGCTCATTTCTGTAATCGCACTTCTCAATATTCTAGAAAGAAAAAACTGGAATTGTTTTTAAGAACTTGTTTTTATAAAGTTGCCTTTTTTTTGCCACGCAAAATTACCGAAAGCTTCCTCATATTTTTCAAAAATTTGTGCAGGGGCCTATTTAAACACCAAAATTTTAAAAAAAACCCTTTATTTAAAAAAATCATTTTCAATATTTGTTTCTTGTAGATAATTAAAACCTTTTGCAATTTTTCGAAATTTTTTTTCACAAAATTCCATTTTTTTGACATTTGTTTTATTTGAAGCAAAATTTAGATGAAAAATATCACCAATGATTTTTCTCAGTTCTAAAACGTTTACGAGTTGTAAGTAGTACACGAGAAAGTAAAAATACATTTCAGCTTTATTTCATTCACACAAGCGACGTGCTTGACAACATCGGAAATTCCTCTGAACTGATATAAATAAGCTTCAACAGAGTACATTCATTAATGAAATAAATTCGTATGTTGATATTTTTCGGTAACCAAAACGAAAAGTTTTAGAAGCGAGGACAAAATAATTCTCTAACGATTCGAAAAGACATATAATTGTTTTTAAAGTTGCTAGTATAATTGTCCGAATTGTTTCAACAGATTTTATGGGTTTGAATTTACAGCTCCTTGTGACTGCGTCTTTAGTGGGTGTATAAAAACAGATTTTCAGCTCAAAATTTGAAGACAAATATCCATTCAAAGCACGCAAAGAGCTATTACTCAACGTCAAGAGACTACTCTATAATTGAGATAAACTCCACCCATGGAAGCAAGCTAGAAAAATGTCTTCGCCGAGAAATTCGGGAAACCTCTTGTCATTCCTATTCATGTACAAGTGGGGAGTTAGATACGTGAAACTTTCTCAACCATAGGGTTATATCTCCCTTTACATCCTCGGCAAGCTTGAAAAGAAATAGGAGCTTGTTTCTCGCTTCCGCCGAGAGCGGCCTATCGCGCCGCCTCCAGGGGAAATCCAAGGGCGGCTGCGGCGGCAGGTCCACGCCGCGCCACTTTCGGCGTGTCGCGTTCGGTGTTCGCGTCGCTTTGCGTCGCTTCGCTGGTCGGTCGCCGTCGCTAGTTGCGTGGAGCCGGCGACAGGGCGCGAGGGCAGCGGAGGTCGAGGCCAGCGGTCGAGCGACGTGGCGACGGGAGCGCGCTGAGCGGATGTGGCGGTGAGAAAGCGATGTGATTGAGAAAGAGGTGTAGCAAAGGGCCGGGATGTCGAGGAGGCTGCAATGGGCACAGCCCTGACGGAGCCGGTGACAGCTTTGAGTGGGGCCGAGTCGAGGCTCCAGACGTGCCAGGGAAGAGCGGTGTGTTGTATATGAAGGAAAATGTACGCCACAGAGTGACTGGGGGATGGCTGTAAGTAGCATCACCATTGGCGTCAGAACCCACGGTCAGCGCAAGCAATGACGATAACCGGACGGCCGGCGGCGGCGTGAGGAGGTGACGGTGGTCATGAACCAGCAGCGGGGCCGTCAGTAAGAACGTGGCTATGGGAAGAAGATGGAGTGCCCGAGGGCGTGGGAATCCCCGGCAGGCAGCGATTGGAGCAACGGAGACGTCGACGCAGCGGGCGGACGGCAGCGGCGAGGGTGCGTGGGCGGTGGCGGTCGCCATAGCGACGTCTGCTCTCATTCAGGCGCGCTGGGGGCGGCCCCGCTGCCTTCGGGAATAAACTCACCTTGCGGCGGCATAAAGTGATGGTGCCGCAGGACGCGCCACGCTTTCATCTCCGGCGCGCACGGGGGCGGAGGGCCGTCGCCTCCGACGGAGTGGGAGGGAGGGAAAGGGTTCAGAGGCAGCGGAACGAATGCAGGGATGGAAGGCAGAGACGGTGGGATTGGTTTGGCTATACCCGAGGAGGGCAAACGCGCATGGCTTCGGAGCGGAAGCTTAAAAAATGAATTGTGCGATATCGTTGAGAATTTTAGCATACCAAGAGCCATGCGATATGTCATGTATTCGTAGTTGTGCTCAAAACGCATAATAGGATGCCGAAGAAATATCTGTGTGTTAGAATGGAAATATGTTATATTTTGAACATTTGGGTGAGACGAAATTCGAAAAAATATTATCACATCCATTTATCTGACACTAGATAGGCCATGTCCGACCCTTATTCAAAATCGTTACAGTAGCCAATCAGAGTTCAGTGCGACACCATATACATCTGTACAACACTAACTCGCTCTAGTGGTGAATTGGCGAACTACGCATTTTGAAATTTCTTTGCGTTCGAAACGATTGATGACAGTTGGATTTCTTCCTCCGCGACCGAACGGCATTGCGTACACGTGCTGTATGGCGCCGTCTACGGGATTTAGCGGCCAGTGATTTCGAGAAATTTTGTGATTTACTGCTACGTTTGAAGTCTGAAGCGTGCATTATGGCTTCAAGAAGGTGCTGGGTGCCCAATTGCAAAAATGCGAAAGCGAAATTAGCCATTAAAACGTCTATTTGGGTTTCCAGGATACGTGAAACGGTAAGTTACATTTTTTATCTTACATTTTTATGCATTTTTATTCATCGATTAATACTGCTTCTTTATTATACTTTTATTGAATGGTGCCTGTAAAGTTAATATATTTGTTTTAGAAGTAGAGAATGGCTTAAAGCTAATGGGAACTGTTCTCTCCAAAAATGCACATGGAAGCATCTCACGAGAAGTAAATATGCATGGATAATTTTCTGGAACAACATTATACCTGCCGTGTGGGACGTGTGATCATGCTGTGCCTTTGCGAAGAAGTATTGCAGGATTTCAATGCAAGCTTCCAGTAAAAGTAAGTTAATTTTCTTCGATGGGCGTTCAGGCATTTCAATAGTGCGTCGTAAATTGATTCTCTAATGTTCATTTTCAGTTTGTTATCCAGATTCAAAATTCACCACAAATTTCAGTGGATGTTACTCCTTGTAAGACTTCTTTTCAATAGAAATAAGCATACTTTATTTGTTCAGAGAACAGTTTGTGACAGTATGCATTGCAAAAAATAGTAAATAATTTGAAGTTTCTCATCAGATTAGCCTAGGTAATAATCATTAGTGGTTTCAAAAAGTAATGTCAGTGAATGGTACATTACACAAGTGTGCCTGGTACATTTGCTGCCAGTATTTATTGCGTCTGCCTTGAAAAATGCATTTAAATAATTCAATTGTAAATTGTAGATTTTTTTAATGTTCATTGTCATTTGCAGATCCCTTGTTTGAACTAACTGAGGTGACACTCACAATAGAAATGGGTGTAATTTGCAAGACTTAATTTCTAGTGTAATTTTTTTCTTAAATTTATAGTTTCTGTCCCAGTTGACAATAGAACTACAAACAGGACAGATTTGTTTGAGATTATAAATGTGCATACAATTTTGGTGTTGTGATATTCGTTTTAATTACATAATAGTTCGATGGGAAACTTTTAAACTCAAATTTTTCAATTTTCAGATCCTTGTACGTAGGCAGCAATTCATACTTAAAATGGTAAGTTTCTTGTATGTGTGTGAAACGCCAATAGAAGCATGCTATTGAAAGCATAATGTATTGGTAATATTTTGTTGTTGATTAATACAGGTTCTTGGATCGTTCAATATGCTGCTATATCATGTGCGGCAGATGCATATGCTAGCTACTAAATGGTAACTATTCGCTATAATTTTTAAGAAACTTAAATATCACTTTGTTGCATATTTTGAAGCTGGGGAAAATTTTATATTTGTCTCCATTTTCAGATCTTTTAAACCCATGAGAGGTGTCACTTGAAGTTCTTTTGGATGTCTCTCGTGGTAAGTTTTTCCTTTGAATATACAGTTATTATTATCAATTATGTGTAAATTATAGAAAATAAAAAAAAACAAATGTTTTTGTGGTTCGTGATTACAGATCCTTGCACAACTGAACAGGTGACCTACGCCATTCTGGAAGATGAATCTGTGGCTTCGGTGTATGGTAAATGCAAGATATTCCTGTGGTTTCTAATTCCGTAAGTCTAGATGCTAACAAGAAAAAACAATTTTCATTTTCAGGAAGATTAGTTTTCAGAATATTCATTTGACGACATAGTATCTTTAACAGAATTTTTTGCTTTTCAGATCCTCTTCCAGCGATGGCTTGTGAAGCATTCACAATTGACCCTAAATGACAGTAAGTGTTCGTTTCCTGGTGCAATCAAATATTTGAACTAAGACAATCCATTTTCAGAATTAAATTGTGGTACATAAGCTGTGTTGGACATGTTACATTCCACACTTTGTAAATCATTGTTTTAAAAATTAATGTAGTGTTACAGTGGATTCCATATTTGAACAGCCCGGCCATAACCTGTGCATGTGTAAGTTAGGCATAGGTAAATAAAATAATTTTGTCAAATATTTATTAACAAAAAATTTTTAGGCTGCAACTAGTAAAAGCAGATCTTTCAAGGCATACGTAGCATGCTAAAAGTTAAAGTTTTTGCACCGGGGCTAAAAGTGGGACAATGTTCAAATGTTCAGGAAAGACTTTGAAAGCAACAAAGTAAACAAAATAGTTTTGTTCGTTCCTAATCAGATACTATTGACCTTAATGTAACTTTGTTCATAATTAACACATCTCCTGCCCCTATGAAAACCTCAAAATATATTTGCAGGTCCAAACGACTTAATTATCATAATGTTATTGCTATTTTTGTAATTGAAATATTTATCTACACGACCAGGTGTATTTCAAAGTTCTATGACCATCCTAGGAAGTACAATTTAAAATCGACGCAGCTACGGCAAGTTCCATGGAAATATTTGCCTTAGAAGTTGTAAATGTTTGTGACTCGCATATGATTCACAGACATTAAAAACCATTGGGTGTTAAGGTTTTTGAACCACGTGTGACTCATAGGGCAGTGAACTGTTAAGTGATTTTTATTTTTGGATTAAAATTAAATGAAAGGTAGTAATACTGTTTACAATGATGAAAGTGATTTTATTTTGCTCGTAGGATTGGGGCATATTGGCCTCGTGATGCTACCTTTCCGACTCGCTAAATAAATTGGCACTTGTATCATAACTATTTTTTTTTTACCTGGGCTAATGTGCGGTAATGTGTTTATTTGTTTCTTTTCAACACTGTTCATTGCACACTGTGTATTGTTAATGTATAATGCTCTGTAACAATGTAATATTCCATAGTATTCACATTAATTTGACATGTCTACAAGCCAGTAAAGGTGCATTTGAGTTGTACTGTGTTTATTGCCTCGTGTAATAAAAATTGTTAATTCTATTGAAGTTGTGTAATATCAAAATTTCAATAAATACTAGATTTTACTGCCCTTTCTTCTTCCATATAATCCTTATGACTGTGAATATTTTAATAAATTACGGCGTGAAAAATATGGGAGTGACATTTTAAAGTTCCCATGTTGCTGGTCTATTTCAAATTTACCGGTTGCTTCTTTGCTATTGGCTGTCCGTTTACCGAATAGAAATTATACAGAACAATATGGCGGCACAGGAAGTTGGGCAAATAAGGCATTCCCTTTTAACATTGAATACCGCCTCTGATATACTCTTTGTTCACATCATGAATTCTGTAGAACTGCCGTAAATTAACTGATTAATGAATGTATTTGATATTTTATGGTCTGGTTAATCCAACTTTTTCCACCTAGCCGTGTTCCGAGCATGGGTAAGATTCTACCAAAAATATCTCAAGTGGGTATTCCAAATCAAAGTGAATGCGGTAATTGTAATAGGAAACGCATGCTCATAACAACCGAAAACTGAAAATATAGTTTTGTGGAGTATTTGGGGAAGTTGTCTCTCATTTAAAATCGTAAAAAGCATCTTATACTTATTTCATAGAATATTTCATTCTTTTATTTATATATTATCCATCCTGGGAGTAAGGAAGTGGTGAGCATGACGTATTCATATATCCGTACCTAGCTTACGTGTCCTTTCTAAGCTTTTCCTTTTGTCATACAGTTGTAGAAACTGAGGATTTGTTTTTGAATGCTACAGCTTTATTCTTAGCCCCGGCCCGGAGTCGAATCCGGAACCACTTCACCAAAGGCCAGCACGCCGTTCCTACCGAGGAGCTTTAAATTGATTAATCACATTCTTTACAACCACACTCGGTAGAGATGTTTCAATGAAATAAGCATAAGATGCTTTTACGATTTTAAATGAGTCAGTAGCTTCCCCAAATACTCCGCTAACTTGTATTTTCAGTTTTGGGTTGTTATGAACATGCGGGTTCTTTTACAATTACTGCATTCACTTTGATTTGGAGTACCCACTTGAGATATTTTTGTAGTATCTTCCACATTTGTTATCTGAACATTAATTTGTTGGCAGTGAAGGAGTTCTAGATGACTCTGAATTCGAAATTGCATTTGTTGCGATTGACGTTGAAGGTATCAAGAGCACACATTTTAGATCCATAATGCGAAGGTTGAAAATGCACGTGTTACTTTGAGGCATTATTAGAAGTTGAATTAAAATTTTCTACACCTCATTGTTCGTCATTTGAAACTATCAAAGCTTTTGCAATGAACTATCCTGTAATCGAGCAGCCCAAATTGTCCATATTTTGCAAGTCTATAGCAGTGTTTCCTTATTTATCTCTCCGATATAACACTCCTCCGTTTATTTGAATATAATGCCTGCTTTACATGATGAATTAAAGCATGATATCATATCTTTTAGAAAAGATCCCGAGTTATGCGTTTGCAATCTTTTGTGGCCTTAAAAATTATCATTGGTAATAATACGAATGCTTTGGAATTTATCTGAGAATTTCCAAAGCACGAGTGGCATTTAATAGGACACTTCCACGAACGAAATTACTTCCAACAAAGTTACAAACTATTCGTATGTAAATAGTATATTAATGTACTTTATTCAGTTCCCTTTTATATTTCTCTAGTTTCTTTAGTTTCATGGCCATCTGCTAATGTAGCAGATGGGCAAAATTAAACCGTGCGGTCGATACGTAAGCAAAATCAAGGTAAACAAATGAATATACAGACCATGACACAAAATGTATGTTTATTTTGCTTTAAAGTCAACTTTTGATGTCACAAACATTAACATTGAAATTAACAGCCATATATTCTTTCAGTGGTAAATACATTTATTAAACAGGCACTTTTTAAAATTAAATGTTGAAGGGACTTATTTATTATCATTCATAATCGTGTGTGATTCAGTAACTGACGTGTTTGATGATGAATGTGGGTCTTAATTTATTTATGATTATCGAGTGGTGATGCTCATTGATTTCCAGGTAAGGCTTCAGTGATGATGTAGAATCGTCTCCTATATTCAGTAGTATACATACCTTTTTGCGACTCTCGCCCGCAACCAATCTTTACAAATAACGTGTCTAAAGAAATAAAATGTCGCGGAGACGTGATGAATTGCACTTTGACTATAAAAATATGAAGGACTTGTTGAAATACGCATCTAAATATTCATGTCTAATATACTTTTTATTATTTTCCGCGTTTTCTGTTGCTTCATGAATTGTTTAATTTATTTGGTCGTCAGACGCGTCACCGAATCGGAAGGTCGAGAAAGAGACGGGAGAGGAAGGTAAGATCGCGCGCAGTTCGTGGTCCATTTGTTAGAGTACAGCTCCGGCATTCGCCTGGTGTTGGTCGGAGAAATCACGAAACACTCGACCAGGGCAGCCGGCCGCTAGAAATCTCCTCCAAATAGCGACTGAATTCGATTTAGCTGACCAGCTAGTGTCAAAATCCTGCCACTGTTGGGACTCAAACCAAGGATCTCCCGGTCAGAAGAACTGCAGTGACATCAGTTGATGCCCTGAGTCATCTTTCCTAGTAAATTCAGGCGAGAAACTACCTATGGCAGCCTGCGCAACGCCTGCTTCTGCGAGCATTCTGAATTCAAGAGCCGGGCGCCTGCCCCCGAGAGCGCCGAAATGTAAATAATGGGGGAGGTGCTTTGTGGGTTGGGAAGAAGCCTGAGATTGCACCACGGGGACGAAGCGGCGCGTGGATTGAATGCATGGGCGTATAATCCAATGATTCTTCGTCCCTCCCTCTTCGTCGAGTTGTTTCGTTACAGAGGGTTTCGAACGCCTGATAATCAACGACGGCGGCTAAGCAACTCGCGGAAAGACGAGCTGCCTCGGAGTGGAGGTCAGTTTACGATATCACAACACCGGCAAGAGTTGCTCTACTAGCGAGTCTCAGGGGCGCGCTGTGCAACCTTTCCAAGCCAATCCTGAGATTTGCCCGCACCATTCAGAATGATACGTTTTTACCCCTAGAGCCGAATCTCAGATGCCTAGATACTTGCTTATCGTGAGGGGTGGAACTCACGATAAACGAAACGTGTAACTAAATATTTGTTGTTACCCACGCGTTTCCCTTTATTTATTTAACGTCACACAACAGCTAAAAATTGTATGACAATATAGGGGGAAATGTGCGATATTTGCTCGTTTTATTTAGCTCCGGAATCCCTTCTCTAACTACTCCTTTTCTTACTTAAAGCGCGTCAACGCAAAGCTCTTGTGCAGGGACCCTAATACTATACTAAGTTTAATTATGAATTCAGGTTGCGATGAGTTTTTTTTTGGCATCATTTGACAATAAGATGCTATTCGTTCCCGTGTAATAAACACTGTTTGCGACGGCAAATGAGCAACATATTTTGGTTTTTATTCGCGTTTTCCTTCTTCCCTTGGCCTTCTCACAATTTTGCATTTCTACTTTCTGTTATATTTGTTTACAAATGTTCGTTGTGAAAAATCTACTTGATAAAATAGTCACAGGTACCAAAGTGGGTCAGTATTAAATAGTATTTATTAATATTATTATGGAATAATTGTATGAAATATAATAAAGTATCATGTATTATTTTGTTTTGTGGAATACTATGTCCTTACAATTCATACACTGTGTTTATTCTCGCACGATAGATGCCTTGTATGTTTTTATACGAATCCCCCTTGTAGGTTAATTATTTTTAACACGAGTAGTTAATACATTAAGCTATTATAAACAATTCAAAAACATGATTCTTTTCTCATTAATTTCAATTTCTCTGCGTCAAACACTATTTTATATTCCGTTATTAACTCTGTGACTTTCAGTTAGTTAATGTTTATAGCATTCTACTATTTTGTGTACTGCGAAGGCTTCTGCTTTCTTTTACATTTCGGTGTTCTAATTATTAAACTACCGCAAGGCCAAGGTTTTCCTCGGGCTCGAGCTAACAGAAAATTATCCAACTCCGTTTACTCTCTGTAAAGCGCTTAGGGTTAAGGGATTGTTAGGGGTCAGTTGTTTGGACAACTTGTTTTCAGTACCGGGGAATTATTTATTAATTACTGGTGCCTTTGAAGCTCACGCGTTTAAATGATGGGCATGCATCCACACATGATCAAGAATTGCGGTAATGATCCGACGGAGGTACAGATCAAATTTGCACCGCAAAATGGCAAAAGCTTTTCCACAAAAATATTCCGGTATAAATTGGCTATGTATTGTTGAAGTAAGTACATCTGTACCTCATCGCTTCTCAATTACATCCAATTTAACCAATCCGGCATTTTTAAATTTTAATTTTATGTACCCTACCTCTTCACGTATACATTCTGTGGGCTAAATTTTCTTTATATAATTAACTTGTAAGTACCCTTCAATATTTATTGATACCAATATTGATCAAATTAGAGTTAAAGTTAGCCGATACATGTTGATAATTGTTAAATCTCATTTATTTACAAAACTTTCTGAAGAAGACTCGAAGTCTTAAGATTAAAACTAGCATTTGCAGGTTACTCAAAACATTATATATAGTTTCACATGTTTATAAAGAAAAGTTTGAAATTGATCTTGCAGCGGCAATTAACGTTTAAATATAATTAAATTTAATTGTACTGGATTGCGCGTTGTAAGGTTCTTGGTAAATAGTGGCTGATAGAAAGGAGCTATTAACCACTTAAACAATTATATTACCTCCAAATTTCCGAGTTTGCAGTTTCTTCCGGCTTGATAAAAGTTTTATATTACCTTAATAAACTTTTTTGTTCATTTTTCAACAACCTTGAAAACCAGCGTTGACACATTTTCAGTTCCTCCAAATACCCGTTTACCACTGTTTTACTTTAATAATACTTCTTGCTGAACTTTCATCAATTTACATAAACATACCTTTACCAACCAAAGTTATTTTTTCACTCTCAACTATAATAAAACATTTCGCTACAAAAATTCATCTATCCGTCACAGTTTTAGCATAACACGTAAATCACTATTAATATATTTTTGCTCGCACTGTCGCTCGTGCAAGTCGTAAATACATAACAATGCTTAACTTATTACAACTGAACATGTGTGTATTCATACCTTTTACGACAATATTAAGCATATCCATAAGCAAATTATTTCTTCCGATCACTTTATATCTCGGATACACTTAATACATTCACGCCTAGACGTACCTAAAATCAAACTCCTTTTATAGAGCAGAGAAAATCTCAGAATCATTTTGGATTAGACAATTGACAGTGAAAGAATACAGTCTTCTCTTATAAATACACATTTCTGCCCACTGATGAACTCAATCGTAGATCTCAATCGTCATCCTCTGGTGGCGCGCAGCTAAACTAAAGACACTGGTGGACTTTTGAATTTGTGATGTAATGCTAGGTGCAAAATATCCAGAATCGTAATTATATTGTAAGTATATTAAGGTTTAGGGTTGTGTATTATAGCCTGACTTTCATAGTGCTCCTGGCCTTCAAAGAAAGCTCGCACAAACATGTCATCGACATTGGTCCTGTGCATTCACAGGTTATTGCGCTGCAACGCAACGCCCTTGTGTCTTTATATGTTAGTACTATAGAATATAGATATAGAATATGTAGATTAATTGGTGTCTGTGCATAAAAAGGATGTTAATGTGAAAATTTTCGATCGATGTCTTCTACTATTTCCGTGTTCCTCAAAACTGTATCACCACCACCTTCTTCAAACTTCCTCTCATACTCCGTGTCCCTTGTACTAGTTACACCACCTACACAAATAATCGTAAATAGGAGTGGTACAGGGGTCTGGGAAGCCGCGAAAATTTCGAGAGAATGACGCTGTTTGATAACAAAGTAAGCCTCACGCTCTTGCTCGCATATGAAAAGTTTTCTATCGAAGTTACTAGGGTCTACTGGGCAGCTGCCCAGCTGTCGTCAGCTCATGTATATTTCATAATATTTCCCTATTGTCACACGTTTATTTCAATAGCACAGAATTTAAGTGCGATGGAGGCATTACAGCTGTCATGCCGCCAGCAAGGTGGGCACCATGACCTACGGCACCCTAGGCGATGATTGATAAAAGTCGCTCGAAATTGTTCTCTGCAGGTGACGCTGATCACTCTACGATATGTCTCTGAAGCAAAAGGTTTTGGCAGAGGTGCCTGCGCGCAACCTTTTTCTGAAGAAGCTCTTGGTATGCTATTTGCGTAGACTCTAATGTAAAACAATGAAATTATGCCTTAAGTTAGCTGTGTTCTAGTTATAAGGAAGAAGAGCTTATGAATGCGCCTTGCATAATTCTCTTACGTTTGTGTTGGCATTTGCAGGGAGCGCGTGGCGGCGCTGCAGAAGACACTGCTGCCAGGAACATGGCTGGCCTCTAGCGGCGAACGCGCCAACTACGACGAACGACCCGATTTGTTGGTGCCCATTGTCAGGTAAAACTAGCATTGCACAAATTATTTCCTTACGTATAGTAACATCGAAACGAAAAAACTGTTAGCAATAGTGATGAAGTAATTCTATAGGGTAATTCATTATTTCTGTTTGAAACTAAAGGTTTAAGCACAACAAGATTACATAAACTCATCAGTCTATTTTTAATAACGGGAATTACAAATTCAATTCATACTAATGAAGATAATTATCCCTGCTTTGCACTAATAGGTGAAGTTTCAGGCTAAAATTATGTATTTATGTGATTTTTATCATAGAGCCGTTTAAACTGATGATAATTCATGAAAGCTTCTTGCAATTGAGAACGTAATATCATGTGTGCTTAGAATGTAAGAGAAATTGATTTCACATTTCATTCAGTGAAAGGATAGGAACAATTTCTCCCCGATTTTAAGCACAATAAACATGATTCAACATGCAAATAAAAATATTTACATTAGTTCTTCTTACTGTCTTTTTTTTGTTTTAAACTTTAAACTTTCGTACGTTTTACATTTATGCATTTCCATACTCTTTTAATGATTTTTTGTTTATGAATCAATAGTTTGAATATTCTTTAAAATTTGTCCTCGTATGTATCAAAGGACGATAGAATACTGCTAGTCTCATTTCTGCAAACGCATATTTTCGAAAATTGCAAAACGTTAACGTTACAAAAGTACAATATTTTAGACGAAACATTTTTGTCTTAAATGAACTATCTTATAAAAAACTGATCTTTAAAAATGGTCATGTACATTTTTTGTAAAAACAAGTAGTTTTGTTTGAATTTAATGCATATTGTGAGAAATATTTTCTCAAAACCCTATCCATATTTTTTCTTTTATTTATTCACAAATAGAACAAGGAAGCTTAAAATGGTACATGTGTCATTTTCGTAGGACTTTTTGAATTTTCATAAATTGTAAGAGTTAGAAATAATGTGAGAAAGTATGTGTTGTTGCAGTACCACTATTTTCTTAATTGAAATCTGTGTTTAAAGGGAGAATTTGAAATGAGTTCCTGTACAATTTTTTCGAAAATATGAATAATTTTGACGTAATTTTGCGAGAAAAGTAGTCAATTTTTAAACAATTATTTTCTCAAAAAAAAACTGATTTTTTTTATACTTTCTTGTCGTGGACGCTATGGACGCTAAAAAACTGGTTGTGGTCCTATTTCAGATACCCACTGTTTTCTAGAAAATTGAAAAAGTACATTGCAAATGCATAATATTGAATATAAACATTTTTGTCTTAAATAATATTGTATTAAAGAATCATATCTTAAAAAAAATCATGTATTTTTTATAACTACGTTTCCTGAAATATGTTATAATTCTTTCCCGAAATAATGCAATTTCTTAAAAATTCATTTTTTCAAAAACGTCTCCTAATTTTTATTTGTTTGCGGGTGGGGCAAAGGGCGTTAAAAATGGTGCTGGTTTCATTTTCGTTAAAATGTCTTAATTTTTGAATCTGGCCTAAGTTAGAAATAATGGGAGAGTTTTTAGGATTTTAAGCGAGACAAATGGAAGTACTAATGAGGGATTGCGTGATGATGCGATACAACCCAAGGCAAATTAAGTAAACGAACCTGAGTTCGAAGTGTGTGAGAAAACGTTTTGGGTGGTTGAAGACAGATTTTCAGGTTCATATAATAGAATAATACTGTGTAGCCGTTAAAAATAATGCAAGAGAGTATATGCTATCCTTGCCCCACACCTCTTTTTCTTCTTTTTTCTTGATCTTTAGAACTGATCAACAGGCAGGATTTTGTAATTTGCTTGTCAATGCCAAATGATGTTTAATTTATAGATAAAGTTTCATTTCTTTCGTGGTGGTAAGCGAAGTTATTATAAGAAAATTCATTTCTTGAATACCCGCCAGTAGCATGCGGAATAAAATTGTAGAACAAAATGAAGATCCCCAACATGCTTATTCCTTAATCCTTAATATAACATTATATAGTATTATAAAAGTGTAAGAGAACTTATTTAATTATATTGAACAAAATGTTAAAATTTGTTGCAGTAGCATATCGGTAGTGCAAGTGATATGGAAACTACACTTGGCAGTAGCGGATTTTCAAAACTAGTTTAATACATTGGCTCACAGCCTACTACGTAATACAGCCCGGAGAAAAATTCTAGATGTTTGTTCCTCTGTTATAGATTTTTCTATGGTTGCTTTCAATTGATTTCAGATTTGTGCTTGCGTAATACGGACAAAGGGACAACGGGTTCCATTTAACGTCCGTGAGTCCTTATTTCCAACGGTGGTCCCGTTTACACGCTCGTTTCCGATGCACACACGGGTCGCGTTTTGCTGTCGGTGTTCTACCGGAGATAAGTAACTAATTAATGTAAACGATTGAATTGGCGGGGACCAGGTCTTTTGTGATGTTCTACCGGAGATAAGAAGGTAGTGAGTGTAACGCGTGGCTTTGAACGATTCATCCAAACTATATCACTCACTGACCTAAATGAATGTGGCACTGTTTTCTTGTATTCAGTAATATTCATGGGATGGTATATTGGATATTGCAATTACCAATTATCATTATTTACCTGCGTAAGTAATATTGAGAGAGTCATAAATACTCTTTTGACAGGAGCTATTACTAGTGTATTTGCAATATGAAAGGGACTTAGTGCACATTCTGATTACTACCAGGTAGTGCTAAGTAAAATAAAATTTTCAAATTATAATATTCATTGTAATTTACATTATATGGGAGTAAAATAAAATGTTATTTTCAGGCAGGAAAGTTTAGCCCTACAAAGTGATACTAGGATATTGCAGTGAAAAAATATTTGGTCTGGATTGCCATACATCATTATATTTATTCATTGCCAATATGCAAGAGAAAATTTAAATCAAACATTCAAATATTACACTTATGCTAAAAAACACTCGTTCTTCAATGATGCAATAAGAATATTGACAAGATGACGCAAAGAAATTGACTCGTTGCTAGAAACATTGTACTGTATTAGCACAATGTACTGTATATGCCAACCGCGCGCGATCATGCCTTCATCTTCCTTGTCCTTACCCCTTTCCTACACACGCTTACAATCACATGCACTACTCTACCATATGTCGAGAAGACCAGTTGGGAGCTTAGAGGCAATCCTGCTGGAGCGGTGCTCCGCTGGTGTGAGATACCTGGGTGAGGAAAACCCGGCAAGCCGATGTGTAGGGCCGCACCGAATCTCTCCATCCAGCAGGGGAAGAACTCAACCCCCTCCCGTGATAAATCACGCATTACATTTACTGGAATAATGACCATAACAATGTCGCGAAACACAAAATAATCATTGAATCCTTTTCTCAACACAATTTTTTTTAATTCGCTAAAAAGTAAAATCGTGATTTATGTTGCCAAGCACAACGTAATAAATGGTCGATTGTACAGATGTAAAGAATTAGGCAATTTAATTCTGCCTACCAAAACGTTTTAAGATATTATTTTTAGGACAAATAATGATTATATAAGTAAAGATTTTATCAGCTATATGGAATATTGTTTTTATTTACCGCGTCCATTGTATATTTTTCCATCGGACGTATCTCTCACGTACTTGGTTTCCCGTGTGTCGTTGAGTTTACGCCGCCCAGCCATGTTACTTTAATAGCGGGCGCCTCCAAACGGGCGCTCCAGGACTCCCGGGTGAGGAATCGCGGCGAATCAAACCACGTCGCTGTCATCTCCTCGCCACCCGCGCCCGGCGCCCGCCCGGGGCGCCGTACCGTACCGCGCCGCGCCGCGCCGCGCCGCACCACGCGCGGTATTACCCGCATTCAGCGACGATCATTCCCATTCAGAGAGTCGATTCGTCAATTACGGACGGTTTTACGCAGCGAGGGCGCGGCGCGATCATCCCCTCCCTTCCCCATCCCCTCCCCTCCCCTCCGCCCCGCGAGAGCGCCGAGCATCACCGCTGCTAACGGCGCGCTCTAAACGGCGAGGACGCGACTATTAACAACGCTGCCCCCTCGCCTCCCTCCTCCCACTCGCATTCCTCCTCGCTGCTTCCCGACGCTCGGGTCCTCCAGTGTGTCTTCCGCGTTCGCCTGCTTGGTGGGGGCGTCAGCGCGGCCCCGACCAAAATACTCGAGTCTTCAGACCTGTGTATTTGCACAAGCCAAGGTGGGATGCTATTGTGTCATTCAATGTCAAGTGATCAGAGCTCCCCATGCGACCTTCTCGGATCTTGATGAAAGTATGTATGCAGTCTGTATGCCGTGTCGTAAAGTAGCTTACGTGAAGTTGTCGCTTACTAGGTAAAATAGTTGTTTCAGATATAGGGACTTGTTTGACCCCTTGCATCGGTGTCGGGCTATCAGATTTTCGCAAATTTGGGATACAATGTTTCCTTCTCTGATATTGCTAATCTAATGAAATTGAATTTACTTCCATAACTTTTTCGCTCATTTAAATGAAACTAATATAATTTTCCCCCTTTGTTATCTCAGTGGGAACATTGCAACAAGAACGCAAATAGTCCAGATTTTAACATTGAATAGCTTTCTTAATATTTGAGTAATAAAAAAAATTGGACCGTAATAGTTTCAATTTCATAACTTACCATATCTTCACAAATTAAGTTTAAAATTGACAATTCTGGAACAAAGTCCCGAAATAGGATAGGTTCCACCTTCTTTTAGAGAAAAGAATCTTCTAAAAATTTTTTCAATCCTTTCTCATTACAAAGACTAGTTTTTGCATCTTTTCAATAAGCTAATTTGATTCTCCACCAAAGACATACATCACCAAAAATGTAGTAAAATGTTGACAAGAAATAGTATTCAATGAAAATTCCATTCTTTATTGTTGTATTATTCAAGTAAGAAATGTGTAATTTAGTACCTTATATTTCTACATAACCTAGTTTTTTTAAATACATAATATCAACTTCCTTCCTCCTGCCGTTACTGTAAAAATTTGTGTAAATTTGATGAATTCTTCCAAATGCCTCGAAATAGTGTTTGTACAGGGGCAGTTATCTAAAATTAGACCACTTGACATGGAAGTTATTATTATAGGAATTACTGTTATTATAGATTTATCAGGTTGATTTTCGTAATCTAAAAATGTGTCCTTTTATGTAGTTTTGTTTGGGGAAATAAATATATATTTATGCAAACTATAATAGCAACACGGTGTTGAAAATGGTTTGCAGTGCGTATGTAAATATTACAGATTGGTCTTTATTTAAAGAAGATAACTTTTCCTCTCTCCTCCTCATTATACCTTCAATGTTTTCTATAGGCCAAATCAATTTTATAGGCCTGCTGCAGCAAAAATGCTACTGAACAAAATCGCACAAAATAATTTCCTAAAAGTACTCAAACTCACAAACTGTTCAAGAACAACAAATACAAGAGAATTATATCAAATTATTTCATGAAATATTTTTTCAATGGAGGTACTTAAACTATGTAATTTTGGTGCTTTATTCGCGTCTTGTTTCTAGACTTCAGCTGGTCAGGAAAGTCTTTCTCAGCATGAAGTGCCCCTTAATTCCGCACATGTCCTGTCGATCTGTTGTCACCTTTAAATGTTCGCATAATAATACCACACGAAAACGAGACTATTGTGTCGAGAACCAGTGTCTCATAATAAAGGAACTCAGGAATACTCTATCACGTTACACATTACTTACATAACGGTTTTCATAACAAGATAAAAGTTATTGGCACTTCACTTGCAATTATTGGCGTCTAATAACAGTATATACGCTTCGAAATTATGGTTGCTTACATTAAACCGTGAATACTTTTGTGATTTTTATTGTAAGAAAATTCATCAAAAGATTCCTGTACCCATGCTGTATTTGTAATAAAATATTGTGTTGCTCAATACCAATACGTACATCGAAATTTACTCTAAAATGTTCCTAATAATTCCTCTAAAATATATTCCTTTCAAACTTCAGTGATACAAGACCCTTACGATCATTGTCGAGATACATCCATATCAGCCCCATTGACCATTGGCGTCTTCCCTGCAAGACCCACTAGCATAGCCGATCAAATCCTGCAGCTATTACAGTGTAGATTGTAGAGGAGGCTAAGCCAATATGTTCACACACGCGCGAGAGTACGCAATGTATCATCTTTTCACTTGTTCTCGGTTTACCATGAAGCTATTACTGAAATTAGTGACATAGAATTACTCATAAACGAGTCTTAGAAAGAAGCAAGTAATCACATGTCATTAGACAGTCGCGAAAGATTTTTGACCTTTCAACTATTTGAAAATATCTAATGCCTGAATCATTCTATTGTGTGCACTTTCATATTGAAATCACAATTGAAATTGAAATCCATGAGGTTTCTCCGTGCTTTAACGTCTCTATCGCCTCGGTCGTTCGTACTGTTATTGCGATTTTTCAGACGGCGAGTGCGTGAGAGCGACTAAGAACCCACCTAACAGGCATCGTAGCTCTGCATCTCCGGGCCGTTACATCCCCTTAACCTGCGAAGCCTTAGCCTTAGTGTCGTCGCGAGCGATCTCAGCGGTGGCGGCGGC